GGGTGGAACTGGATGATCTTTAAGGTCCCTTCCAACCCAAACCATTCTATGATTCTATGATTCTATGATTAAAAAGAACTGTTTCTTGTGATCTCTCCCCCCGGCAAACTACTGTCCCCAGATCTAGCCGAGTCATTGTCCTCCCTTAGCTACTCTTGGGCTGTAGGTTCCAAGAAAAGATCTGCAGGTTGCTGTCTGGTGCAGGGAAGGGGCTGATCAGGAGGGTGACAAAGCCATTTCTCACCATACTTCAGCCCTGCAGGGCCAGAGCCTGCACTGAAGCTGCAGCTTCTACCACCCCAGGAGCACCCTGCTTCTGCCTGCACCATGTCCTTCCCTGGTCCGAGCTCCCTGCGGGCTGTTGGCAGGGACAGAAGGGACTGCCCAGTGATCCTAATGGCTCTGGGCTGTTTCCTTCCCAGGGCTCCAGGCTGGGATGAGTTGGCTCCGTGGGGACCTTGTCCTCCTACCCACAGTGGTGGCGATGCTTCTCCTCTGCACAAGCGCTGGCCCAGCAGTACCCACTGCCAGCTCCCGGAGTGGTGAGTATGGAGGTGGTGGGGGGCACTGGCTGGACACCAAGGCGCAGAGCAGGAAAGTGTCTCCCTAGCTCAGCACTGACTCTCAGGTGCTAGGAAAGTGAGCATGCACCCAGACTGATGCACAACACAGCTCCTCACACACAAACCCCTGGGCCATGGCTTGTAAGGTAAGCAGCCTGACACTGGTCAAGCCATCCTCACCCCCTTGGTGGCTCCATGCTGAAACCAAGGGGTTTCTGGCCAAACGCCATAATTCCATAACTTGGCGGGATTGCTCTGTGGTGCTTATATCTTTTTACACTTCAGTTCTAGGAAAGATCATCCCAGCAATTTTTTTTTTTTTTTTATCTTGTTGGATTAGGAGTATTCCCTTCCTCTCTGCAAGGGAGGGTGGTACTACCTGCAAGACCTGTGTGCCCGAGAAAAGCAGAATTTCATGGGCTGAATTGAAATTACCCACAGCAAGTTGTCCCTCATCAGACGCAAAACAAAAAAACAAATTAGACAGCAAATAAGTTTGGCAAGTAAGTCACGACAGATCAGTCCTGCTAACATAAATTGCAACAAGCTGGGGGAAGAGATCCCTATGAGATCAATGTAGAACTTAGCCTTCTTTTGCAATGCCATGACCCCCAGGGAAAACATAAATTTTTATTACATATCCTCATCCAGTGGAGCATTTTGGACAATTCTGATCCTTGCAAGAGCTGTAGCTCAATATATCAAGGGACTTGTGTGAGGGCCAGATGTACTTGGAGGACATCACTGGCATCTGGAAGATCTTTTTCCCCTCTTTTCTTTGCCAGATGCATTAGAAGACTCCAAATGAAATAGCAAGCCATGAGAAATAGATCCTAGGGCTCTTATCAGGGTCACTCTCTTAGAGACCTTCAGTTGCCCTGTGGATGAGCCAGTCGAAAAGCCACTCTACACTGTGGAGCAGACCACAGATAAAACCAGCCCTTTTTGTCCTGACTCCTCACTCCCCTACAGGAGCTCCTTGTTGCCCTGACTCATATGAGCCTTCTCTCCCCCACCCCATCCTGTGTTTGCCACTGTGGTTTCACAGGGTTCCCTGCAGACTGCAGCCATCTCCGCAAGACCAGCCCCAGTGGGGTGTACGTCATCCAGCCGGCAGGGGCACCCCCACGCGAGGGGTGGTGTGACATGGACACCGAAGGCAAGGGCTGGACCGTTGTCCAGAGGAACTCTCATGACACTGAGATCACGTGGAAGCAATCCTGGACCACCTACAAGTATGGCTTCGGGAACGTGCAGGGCGATCACTGGCTGGGCACCGAGTACCTGCACCTGCTGACACAGCAGGGCACCTACAAGGTCCGCTTCATCGTGCGGAATAAGGCCAACGTCACCCATTACGCCGAGTACGACATTTTCAGGGTGGAGAGTGAGGCCAGTGGGTACCCGCTGAGGCTGGGCCGGTTTTCTGGTGATGGGGATGACTATCTGACCAGCTATCACCCCAAGAAGGGTGGTATACATGACAACATGAAGTTCAGCACGACCGACAGGGACCAGGACCAGTACAGCGGGAACTGTGCCAACAGCTACGGGGGCTGGTGGTACGACAGGTGCCAGAACGTCCTGCTCAATGCCAAAAAACACATCCTTTGGCCAGGATTCTGCGATAATGGCGACTGCTCATCCTCCCTCATCCTGGTCAAACCCACAGATGTGTGCTGACTGTGCTGCAGCACCCAGCCTCCCGGGAGTTTGTGGGAGTGCCACCGTCCCCAGCTCAGTGCCCCGTTCCCACACCTGCCAACAGCCCTGGGCCAGCCCCAGCACACGTCCTGCGCTGCCCACAGCTCCTGCACCATCACCAGCTGAAACAGGAGCAATCGCCCGGAGCCCCGGGCACACAGGCAGCTTCGCCCCGTGCCGTGGTGCTGGCCAGCCCTGGGACGCAGGCACTGGTTTGGGGTGGGCGGCCCACTCCTGTCCTGGGGAGGGGGAGACAGTGCAAGTTCCCTTCCCTGTGCGATCGGTGTATCCCTGCTTTGCTCAGGCCCTGCTCCCTCCCTGGGCCCCACACCCCCCACAGCTCTGCTACCCATGGTGGGAGAAATCAGCTGCAATAAACCCTGGAGCCAGACTTTGCTGCCTTGTGTCTACCTGTCGCTGTGACACTGCACATAAGTGTGTGGGGATCACTCTGTCCAGTCCCCAGGGTGGTGGATCTGGGGGAAAGTAGGTGATTTATACAGGTCCTCTCCTGGGCGAGGAGACATACCTGCCCAAGGGATGCTAGATCTCCTTGGGACATGCAGAGCTCACCTCTCCCAGGGCTGATGTGGCTGCTGTTTTCAAGATGATTTATTTGCTCAGACAGTGCAGGGCCAGGTCAGCTGTGGAGCTGATTCTGCTCCCAGGCTGAGCTGGTGCAGAGCTGGTGTGGCATGCAGGAGTTTTGTGCTGGTTTTCTTTTTCTTTCTTTTTCTTTTTTTTTTTTTCTGAAATATTTCAATGTTCCATAGTGAAAGACCTGACACTGATTCTCCCTGCTGATGTTTGTCCCCCAGCCTGTAAAATAACCTTTTCTCCCTTTAGTACGGTTGTTGTACACAGCTGAGTACAACTGTTGCACCTAATTCTGTCTGTGGTTTGGTTCTCAGGTCTCTGGATGCAATATTGCTTCCAATGGCTTGTTCCAGCTACTCTGCACTGAGCTGTGGCTGTAAGACTATGATTAGCCAACAGACCCAGCAAAGCCCTTGCCTGTAGTTTCCCCCTGTCTGTGGCTGGGTGGTTGCTCTATGCTGGGAAGGGGAAGAAACTACCACAGATTGGAGTGTGAACAGGGTGGCAGGATCCCTGAGGGCACGAGAGAGGTGGGTAAGTCAGTCCCATCATACTCTACTGCAGAGGGGGAATGTGGCTATGGATCTCCTTTGCAACAGAGGGAAATCTGAACTTAGGGCTTGAAAGAAGCCACAGTTCCTCTCCTCTGTCTTTGGAAGAAAAGCTGAGCTCGAGGAAGGCTTGTGGCTATTAACCCTTGGGACTCTCAGGCCAGGTCTGTGACTGAGGTCCCAGGGCACCCTGCAGAGCTACGGCAGTGCCACGTTCCTGAAGGGGCTGCACAGGCAGCCTTGGCTGCCCTGGAGACCTCTGTGGGCCTGCAGCCCTGATGTGTGGGGACATGAATGCATGAGGGTGCTGCTGTTTCAGCTGACTTGAGAGTAGCATTTCTGGACTGAGAGATATGTCTGCTCGTTTAAAAATTCATTTGCACTCCAGCCTGGACATACAACCTAACCGGAGGGGAGAGGCTTGACAGAAAAGGACTTGGGGTTTCTGGTAAACAGCAATTTGCCCAGGAGTCAGCAATGCACTCTTGCAGTGGTGAAGGTGAACTGCATCCTGGGCTGTATTAGCAAGAGTGCAGCCAGCAAGACATCACTCCCCTCTGCTCAGCACTGGGAGATCACATCACAGGTACCATGTCCGCTGTTGAGCTATCCAGTGCACAGATACCACCACACTGGAGCAAGCCCATAAGGACCCAAGCCGATCCAGGCCTCTTGAAATTCTGGGATCCTTGCCATGTCAGCCTGCCTCAGCTCTTAAACCTGCCCCAGATATCCCAACCATGCAGTGCTGTGTGGCCTTGCAGTGCTGTTGTCCCTTTCTCCCTTTCTTCCCTGCCCGATCTTCCAGTTACCTCCCAAGGCCTGGGCACATATTCACAAGGTTAACAAGGCAGGATGATGCTGGCCTGGCTTGCTGTCTCTGGTTAGCTCCAAGTCATGGCTGGTAGGGCTGAACTGAGCTCCTACCCTCTTGGGCACATGGTACTGCATTCCCTTTTTGAAAGATGCCACTTTGAAACTCAGCTCTCTTCTTTAAGTGAAAGTTTTGTCTTTAATTCCTCATTTGAGTCTTATAAAAAAATTTCCCTTTCAAAGTCTTTTCTTACTTCACCAGGAGCCTCGGGGCTCATTGGAATGAATGAAGGACATTTACATGTGTCTGTGCAGGTTCTGAAAGCAATTTTATTCTGCAGGATGAGCACAGACTACAGCAGGGATATGGTGTGTACATAGCCTGCCTGGGCTCAGAGCAGTTTAGATCAGTGATGACTGATACTCTTCTGCTGAAGTCACCTATACCCGCAAAGCAAAAAGAGAGTCAGACCTTGCTGGATCAGGAAGGTTTTAGGCTTCTGAACACAGTTTTCTCCCCAGAAGGAACATGTTTGGAAACTGCAGTGTTTATAAAGACTTGTTCTAATAATGATCTCTAAAAACCTCCCACAGGTGAAAGGCCAGACACAAAGCAGGGAGCTTTGCTACTTTTCAAGAGAAGAGGAAAAGAAAACATTTCTTGATATACAGGAAAAACCCTATTCACCCCCAGCCTCTCAGCCAACAAAACAGGCCCCAGCAGGGTGCTGGTCTGGCCACATGCTCAGTGCAGACAGGAGGGGGAGGAGTACTAATGGTACAGAGCAGGTTTGATGAGGATGGCAGAGGCTTTGCAGTTCCCATTGCACAGGCTGCACCACGTTCTGGCCCCCTTGACGTTCAGCCGCACAGCATAACACGCCGAGTACCACCACCCGCCCCCATAGCTGGAGGCACAGTTCCCACGGTAAGTGTCCTGATCCCGATCCTTTGTGGAGAACTTCATGTTGTTGTGCACATTCCTGGGATTGTCTGAGGTCATGGCATCCTCTGCTGTCCCCGCATATGTTCCCAGCCTCAGCCGGTAGCCCTGGGACTCATCTTCCAGGCTGAAGAGGCTGTAGTCTGTGAACTTGATGTTATTTGCGGCATCCCAGATGACAAACCTGACCTGGTAGACCTTCTGCCTGGAGATCTGATGGATGTACTCAGTGCCCAGCCAGTACTCAGTGTGCACGTTCCCAAAGCCGTACTTGTAGGTGCTCCAGGACTCGGCCCAGGTGATCTCCGTGCTCTGCCGGTTCCTCTGGATGACCGTCCAGCCCCCGTCCGTCACGTTCATTTCGCAGTACACCACGATGGGGTGCAGCCCGGTGGGCTGGATGACGTAGATGCCGCTGGGGCTGCCAGCACGGATCTCACTGCAGTCCTTGGGAAAACCTGGGGCAGGAGAGAGGCTGACTTAACAAAAGCTTGTGCAATGGGAAAGACCATGTTTCACCCTGTGGCTGGAGAGAGGGACATCTGTCCAGAGTAGCTGGGCAATAATCAGCTGTCCCAGCCCAGAGAGGGCTTGGCTGGAGGTGAAAGTGGGTTGGCCTCAGCCCTCTATTCCTCTTCCACATGGGACATCTAACAGGAGGCAGCCCCAGCAAAAGGCCCCAGACCCAATGGGCTATGCTGGTATCAGGCCAGGAGACTGATATGGACACTAGTGGGCTCCTTTGGGTCTCCTGAAAAAGGGGTTGTGTCACTAAAACAGGGTCACACTGGGGAGGAAGGTGAAGAGGACCTTGCCCCCTTGCCCCGTCCTGTAACTAAGGGAACAGGAGAAAAATGACCCCTCCAAGCACACAGACACCCTTACCAGTCTGCACAGTGCACGCACATACACACTCACGCACATGCACGACACTAGTGGGCTCCTTTGGGTCTCCTGAAAAAGGGGTTGTGTCACTAAAACAGGGTCACACTGGGGAGGAAGGTGAAGAGGACCTTGCCCCCTTGCCCCGTCCTGTAACTAAGGGAACAGGAGAAAAATGACCCCTCCAAGCACACAGACACCCTTACCACATACACACTCACCCACATGCACATTGGGTTAACCTCCTCACATCCACCATCTTCTATCCTGTAGCAGGGCCAGAGCTAGGGACGTTTAGGGCCCTTCCCCACCTGGAGCTTGCCGTACATGAGCACAACACACTGGATCCCACCTGTGCTGGCAGATGTGATCTCCCCATGCCTTCAGCACACTTGCTGCGGGACTTGCCACTGTTGTTTAGGTCATCTTGGTGCATGGGCAGAGCTCTTCTCCCCAGCTGATGCCGCCTCTCCCCAGCCCACCTGCCTGTATACACTATGGAGGTGTTTTTTTGATTTGAGGCGTCATAGCACACCCTTTCCCATTTTACCAGGCCTCCACTGGCCCAGAGCATGGGCTGGGGCTGTTCACCAGCCAGGGCTGGCCCAGACCAAGGAACTGAAAGAGATTGGTGAGAGCACTGCGATGCCCACGGGATGCTACGTACTGGTTTTCTTCAGAGCACTTGCCGAAGTGTTGGAGGGAGATTTCTTGAAGAGGTTTAGGGTTTGTATATGCATGGAGTGGCCAGGGGCAGTCAAGACCAGCACGCAAGCAAGGAGTAGAAGGCACTGGGCTGCTAGAAAGGGAAAAGATGGGAGAAAAAATGAAATGTGATATTCCCTCCAGAGAAGTGGGGAATCCCTTGGCTCCAGCACTGCACAGTGTAACATGACCATGTGAGATGCAGGAGTGCACCGAGCATTCTATGCAGCATCAGACTGGTCTGTGCAAGCTGGAAAGCTTGATAAAAGGCCTCAACTCTTTTGCCCAAGGGGTAGACAACCTTGCCTTTTCCCCTTGACCAGCTCCCAAAAAGTTATGCCTGAGATGATAGTTGGGTGTAGCAAAGCACCCAACAACTGTCTGAGCTAAGTTTCATTCCTGACCCCTGAAGCAGGGGACTGGCTGGGGTGAGCCAGAAGGCAGGGCACAAGCTGTTGGTGTTCGAAGGGGTGGCAGGTGAGCATGCCGTCAGAGGGCACGGATGCCACTGCTCTCCATCGGTGTGTGAGGACCAGTGCATGTGGCCTCTCCCTATTGCTGGGCTGACCTACCTGTTCTCCTCCCATTGCTAGCAAAGAGCACACCGCTTCCCAGCCCAGTACTCACCCATGGTGTCCATGCGGGAATGCCCTCTGGAGCACAAAGCTGTGGAGCAGCAGGTCTCACAGAGGCATTTGTAGTGTCCTCTGCAGTGGGCGGGGTAACTGGGTCCTACACCACCACCCCACCACCCCCTCTTGGCTTCCTTTCTTCTGGAGGAGGAAATCAGGCTGGATTTCCTTTGTGCTCTTAGAAAACACAAGCCAAGATGAAGGTGCCTCTTGTTGTAGGTGCATAGCTTCCTGAGCTACAAAGAAAATAACCCCTGTGCCAGCGAGAGTCCTTGGAATGGTCTCTTCTGAGAGTGCTTAACTGCTTGGATGGAATTTCCCCTGGGAACAGCATATTCGGGAGCTTTGAAGAGTGCAGGTCAGTAAATAAACACTTGAATGCCAGTCACAAACCAGCATGGAGAGCAAACACTGGGGATGTCCCCACCTCCCACCATTACAGCAGGGTTCTGTCAGGTCAATTGGTTCTTGTTTAATGTGTTTTTGACAAGCCCAGACTAGCTCTTGGTGGGGAAGTCAGAGCAGCCCCAGACTCCCAGAGTTGTGGGAGAGTATTTGGAGCAGCTGCTGTTTTCTGGACTGCATGACAGCAGGCAGAGGGTTGTGGTGGAGATGATCTCCATCTGGGGGAAGTGGGAGAGGTCTCTTCCCTCGTGGGCCACAGTTCTGAATGGGCCTGCTGAAAGACACCATCTAAAAGGTTTCTGTAAGCCAGTTGAGACAGCTCTGGTCTCTGGGACACTGGGTTTGGGATTCTGGTCATGCAGGACAGATGACTACAGAGGAAAGCAAGTGTCTGCCGAGGAATGGAGCGAAACTCAGCAGATGGAGGCAGCAATGGGGATCTGAGCATGTACAGAGGGGAATGGAGGGGTCTGAGCGTGTGCAGAGGGGAAAGCAGAAAGCTTGTCCCTGTGTGCATAGAGAGGGAATGGAGGGGATCCGAGTGTGCATGGAGGGAAAACTGAGTGGAATTGAGGGTGCACAGAGGGACTGGAAAGGATCTCATGGTGGAACCCATAGGAACTGAGCACCCACAGAAGGGATGGGTGGGATCTGAGTGTCAATGAAGAGCAATAGTGGGAATCCGAGGACACTTATTGAAAAGAGGGATGTGAGTGTGCACAGAGGGGAGAAGTCAGCACTAAGCAGACACTGTAAGGAACAGAGGAGATCTGGGTGTTCAAGAGGGGAACAGAGGATATCTGGGTGCATACAGAGGGAAACAGAGGACACTTGAGTGTACAAGGAGGGGAATGGAGGCGATGTCTTTGTGCAAGGAGGACAACAGAGGGGTTCCAAGAGAGCACAACGAAGGGAATGGAGAGGATATGAAAGCAGCTGGAGAGGAATGGAGAGTATCTGAGAGTGCTTGGAAGTGAACAGAATGAGTCCGAGGGGATGTAGAAGCACCCAGAAGGGAACAGAGGGAATCTGAAAGCATGTAGAGGGGCCATGTTTTGGATGTAAGGCACTCAGAAAGGATGGCAGGAACTAGGGGCGGGGGTGCGCAAAGGGGAGTCGAGTTGATCTGAACATGCATGGATGGGAACTGTGGGGTTCAAAGGCACAAGTAGGGGAGCAGAGAGGATCTACAACCACTCAGAAGGGAACGGGGAGTAATTGAGAGTCCACAGAGGGAAACAGAGGGAGCCTGAGCATGCATAGAGAAGAATGGAAGGGACCACAGTGGCATGTGGGGTAATAGAGAGTGCATGGAAGGGAATGGAGGGGATCAGAATGCACACAGAATTGAATGAATTATTTTGATGTGCCCTCTGATGCTCCACAGGGTCTTTTATTTGCCCTCTGGTGCAATGCAGAGGCTTCCATTTGATCCTGTCATCCCCCAAGAATCATTCCATTTAACTTTTGGTACACCCAAAAGAAGGTGCAGCTTTGGAGGCCTCCGATTTCCCCCCTGTACACCTCAGAATCCTCCATTTGCTTTCTGGTGCCCCCTAGAGCCCCCTGTTTTCTTTGCACTGCATCCCAGTATCTTACATTTGCTTACCTTTTCATGCCAGAGCCTTCTGTATGCCCTCAGATGCTACCCAAGCCCTCCACTGCCTTCTCATACACCCTGTTTCCCTTTGCAAATCCAGTCACCCCAGAGGCTCCAGCAGGGTCCTGGGCAGTAGGGACCTCTTTGTGCAGGATGCTCAGTAGAAAGTCAGGATAAGACTGCAGTCTGGAGATAGTGACAGTTTGTTGCTTGCTGGGGCCACAGACCCAGCATGTCTCCAGAGAGAGGGAAGGTCTGAGGTCAAGCCTGAAGCCAAGTCAGTGGATTCCATCAGGGGCAGAACTGGAGGAACAAGACTGGGTGCAGACATAGCTGCTGCTCACCTTCCAAGTAGCCAGTGGTAAAGGCGCAGCTTAAAAGCAGCTCTTCAGGGGAAGGAGGAGCAGGCCCTCACTTCTAGCTTTTTTCACAAGAGCCCTTTTCAGTGAAGGGGCTGACTTTGGACGTGGCCAGCTAAACTCCTTAACTCAGTGAACTACACTCTGAGAAGGGGGAAGGGACTCAAGGGTGCTGGCACCAGCCCATCCTCACAAGCAGTAATGTGGGAATCTCTGGAACAACCCATGCACAGCCCTGTGGTAGGGGAAGCAACCCCTGATGACTCTTGGGGCCAGCTCCTGCCTTGGGATCTGGGTCTCCTCTTTCCACAGCAAAACACAAGGATCCCAATTGCCTGTTAGAGACAGGTTTGTACTTCCAGAACTAAGGCCAAAGGATAGAATCTCTGGGTGCCCAAGTGCCATGGTTACTCTAAGGTCTCTTGGGTTACAACCCCACCATGTGTTCTTCTCCTACCTGTAACAGTGACAGTGTTTGGGGTCGGTTGGGTAAGGGTCTGGGTACTCTGGGCAAATTCAGAGGCCACAAACCTTGATTCAACTAGAGGATTGTTTTGGAGGGTGTGCCTATCCAGGAGGGTGAGGATAGGGGGTAGTGCAATGTGATACCTTAGTAAGTGTGGTCTGACCAGGCCCTCTTTGCTGCCATTGAAGGAAGATGTTTTCTGGCACTGGGGAAACAAGGGGTTTGCTGAGGCAGGTGGCAACTTGATGGCCTCTCTTGCCATCTCATTGGGATGCAATGGCAAGATGTGAAAGGACCTCTTGAGATCACCTGGTCTATTCCCTCCTTCAGAAAGGTCAGCTACAGCAGGCCACCAGGAAAGTGCCCGGTCGCATTTTGAATATCCTGAAGGATGGAGACGCCCTCCCTGGGCAACCTGTGCCAGTATTTGGTCACCCTCACAGTGAAAAAGTGGTTTCTTGTGTTCAGATGGAACTGCCTATAAGTCAATTTGTGCCCATTGCCTCTTGTCCTGGAACTGGGCACCAGTGGAATGAGCCTGGCTCCCACTTTTTCATTCCGTCCCTTCAGGTATTTATATACATTGATAAGATCCCTCTCTGAGCCTTCTTTTCTCCAGGCCAAACAGTCCCAGCTCTCTCAATCTTTCCTCAAAAGAGAGATGCTCCAGTCCCTTAATCATCATTGTGGCTCTTCGATGGACTCTGTCTAGCATGTCCATGTCTCTCTCACACTGGGGAAGCCAGAACTGGACTCCAGGTATGGCCTCACCAGTGCTGAATAAAGGCTTGCCTACCTCGACCTGCTGACAATACTCCTCCTAATGCAGCCCAGGATGCTGTTGGCATTCTTTACCATGACTGTATATTGCTGGCTGATAGTCAGTTTCTTGCCCGCCAGGATCTCCATGTCCTTTTTTGCAGACCTACCTTGCACCTGGGTGGCCCCAGGATTGACTCCTGGAGTACAGCACTGGTGACTGGTGTTCAGCTGGACTTTGTGCCACTGATCAGCACTCTCTGGGCCTGTCCATTCAGCTGGTTTTCAGTCCACCTCCCTGTTCATTTATCTAAGCTATATTTTGCCAGTTTGTCTGTTAGGATGTTTCCAGAGACAGTGTCAAAAGCTTACTAAAATGGAGGTAAACAATATCCACTGTTCTCCTCTCATCCATTATGCTAGTCCCTCACTATAGAAGGCTATCAGGCTACTTAAATATGATATACCCTTTGTAAATCAATGCTGACTACTCCAGATCACGTTCTTGTCTTTCATGTGCCTGAAAATGGTTTCCAGGACTAGCTGCTTCATCACCTTCCCAGGGAACAAGGTGAAGCTGACCAGTTTGTGGTTCCCTGGGTCCTCCTTCTTGATCTTGATGATAGGAGTGACATTTACTTTCCTCCCGTCTTCAGGCACTTCTCCCAGTAGCCAGGATTGATCAAAGATTATTGCAATGACATTGGCCAGGTCCCTCAGCACTTGCAGGTGCATCTCATCAGGGCCTATGGACTTCTGTATGTCCAGATTGCTTAAGTATTCCCTAACCTGATCCTCTTCCACCAAGAGTACATCTTACTTGCTTCAGACTTTCCTCCTGATCTCTTGGGCCTGGGATTCCCGAAGGCTGGTCTTCCCAGTAAAGACAGAAGTGAAGAAGTCATTGGCCTTTTCCATGTCCTGTGTCACCAGGGCCCCTGAATGGGGATTCAGTAGCAGACCCCCATATTTCCTATTATTTCTTTTAGGTACTTGTAGAAAACTTTCTTGCTGCCCTACACATCCCTTGCCAGATTCAGCTCTAGGCCAGCCTTGGCTTTCCTAACCCCATCCCTGAATGATTGGACAGCATCTCTTTATTCCATCAGCCATCATACTCTGCTTCCATCTCTTGAACGCTTCCTTTATATGCAGGAAATATATAAAAAAACATAATGTAAATATATATAATAAAAACATGCACCCTGTTTCCATCTACTTCTTTGCTTTTGGGGGGAGGACTGTGGGCTTGTGACCTCCACTTCCATGGGTTCTTCTGCTTGGCGTGGCAAGGTAGGTGGTGCAGAGCATGGCACATCACCTCTGAGGATGCTGAAACACTCTGTGACGCACTGCCAGCCTCCTCTCCAAATTGATAGCCAGGTCTGAGAGCTGCCTCAATCTCTGGGGAAGGGTCCACTCTGGACATTTCATCACTGAGACCTCAGTCAGCCCCAACCTGCAGTGAGCCATAAGGACTCATTCCCCTGGGTCAGTCCCTTTGGATAGTCTCAGGAACTGGATTTTGTACTTGGCAGCTGATGGCTTCTGTGCTAGAGCTCCAGCAAGGCTGGCTGAGCTGCTGCTGTACAGCTGAGCCACCTGCCCCCTAAATGGCTCCAGAGCATGCAATAAGGAGTCAGGGTCCTGGAGGACAGAGTCACTACAATCCATGTTGCAAATGACCATTTAGCAAGCCCTCCACTGTGGGACTGCAGCAAACCAGCTCCCTTTCTGCCCTCAGCTGCTCCATGTTGTGGTTAGCCCCTCCAGCACTCGCCATGGCCTGTGGCAGAGACAAGAAAAGAGCCTGAGAGGTCTGAGAGGAGGGAAGAGCCCATGCCCCGTGGCTGCATCTTTCTGTCACCCTCCTTTGCCAGTTGTGTATGCTCCTATCATCAGCATTCAGGATGGGAAGAGTTTCATCCCCTTCCCCTTGCTTCACACAGCCATCTGCCTGAGGGAAACCTGTGACCAAAAGGAGTGTGATTTCCACCCCCCGTCTCCCCTAGTCCACTTGTTAGCAGCAGAAGGAATAGGCAGGGATCACAAAAACACGGTGAGTTCCTAATGGGAAATATTATTACTTGGATGAGAAATTTGAGCTGCAGCTTCCAGGATGAGCACACGGTGGCTCTGTTGTGTTACAACAGATGACTGCAAGAGAAGAAGGTCCTTGCTGGGGTCAGGACTGGCCTCTGTGGGGTGGGGGAGCACAGGCTGGGACTTCAGCCCACAGATTGCAGCTCAGGCTCCTCAACCATAACCAGCACTGACAGCACTGCAGATTTAAATACAGATGGAATGTCAGCCCAGGTAACGAAGTATCTTACCAATTGCTCAGGACTGAATGCACCAACAGGATATGGGCATATTCTGCATGTACTACATTTGCACCCTGTTTTTTTCATATTTTTCTGGTAGTTGCTTTTTCTGACTTGTCTTGGTACTTTTAAAGACAACATAGAGCACTGGAGATACCATGATCACAGTCTTAAGAGTTTGTGGTGGTGGGGGGGGTTTTTTTAATCTCTTCTTCAAGGAATTGTATAGCATTCTTCCTCTACTGTTTGGCCATTTTGTTACAGACATGATGTCAGCTGGGTTTACAGTGGTACAAAACTAAATATGTGATAAAATGCTTTTAGGCAAACAATCAGAGGAGAGAGTAACTTGGCATTTGTAGTGGCCATGACATATAAAGGTATCGTTATACATGAGTATCTTTAATACATCAGTATCAAGAGAAAGCTTTTCTACAGATCAGAACTTCCCTTAGTGCTACCTGTTGAAATGCAGGGTCAGAAGTGTCAGAACTATATTTTGGACTGCTTATGCACTGCCCAGTACCCAGTTTTTCTGTATGCAAGCCCATAGATCTATGTATGCAGGCCTAAGACCCCCAGATCTCTATCTCCAGCATAGTCCAGATTTTTAGAACTCTGTGGTTGTTTTTAGATTGTCCCCATTTGCACATGCCACCCCCAATGCAGAAAAGCAATTGCAGAAATTTTGGTCCTCAGGGATGGATCCACATGTCAAGCTCCCCTACGGTGAATCCAGGCATTTGGAATCCCCTGGGGGACCCTGTTGTCCAGGTCTGTGGGATGTCCGGGGATCACTGAGGTGTGGGAGGCTCCGGCATTGCCAGGTGGCCCTGGGAGGCAGAAGGAGGAATGCAGAAAGAGGAAGAGGGGGAGGAGACCCTATATGCCCATCTGGGGGGGGTGTGGGGTGGGGGCTGGAATAATGGGGCATCTGGGGGGCCCAAGGAGAAACTGGGGGGTCCTGGGAGCAATTGATGGTTATAAGGGTGAAAGTATGGGACCCTGGCAATTGGGTCAACTGACTGTAACTGGGGGCCCCAAAGGGACAGTGGGGGTTCTGGAGAAAATGGGGAAAGTGGCAGAGTCTTGGGTGCAATTAGGGAATCTGGAGGAAGCAAGGCAGCCTGCAGTAGTCCTGGGTGCAAGGGAGGGGTCCCAGAATGGGCCAGAGGACAATGGGAGTCTCAGGGGCCCCTGTGAGTTTAGGAGTCCTGGCAGTCTATGGCCCCCCTTGGACATCCAGGTCCCCTTGCATTTGTAGGGAATCTGAGGGATTGAGGGTCCAGGGAGGTTTGGGAGTCCCATGCTAGTCTGCAGGGAGCCTCAGAAGGATGGGGATTTTGAGGGTAAGGTTTACCAGGCCAGGAGAACTCACATCATCAGCAGCATGAGCGCCATGGAGCCAAGTGCCAGCCCCAGCAATCCCGTGTGGTGCAGGGAGGTCCTGCCATGGGGCCAGCGTAGCACAGCTCTGAACCGAGCCTGGAGTCCCTGCTCTGCCTCCACGCTTCCTCCTGATACTGTGGGGACCAGGCACCTCGGGTCATGGGGCACTGCCCCCCAGGGACCAGGTGTGCTTTCAGCACCTGCTCCAGCCACAGATCTCACTGCCCCAAGGGACTCAGGCATCTGGGGGTCCCTGCTTCACTCCATGTGCCCCACTGCCCCCAGAGGAGCCAGGCATCAGGGAACACCTGCTCCACTCCACCTGTCCACCATGGACCAAGGTGTCCTGGCAACCTGCTACACCCCCATGCACCACCCTTCCATGGACACAGGTGTCTGGGGTCCCACTCCACCCCACACTGCTCACTGCCCCCAGGGCACTCAGACATCTGGGCGCACCGTTGAGGTAGAAGTACTTGCGGACCAAAGGCTCAGAAAGGACTCCAAGGCGACAGGCAATGGTTCCTGGCGTGGGATCCTGGATGGTCAGACTGAGAGGTCCCTCCGCACTCCCCTGCAGCTCCTCAAACAATGCCAGATCCTGTGTGCGCAGCTGGGGCATGGGGGAACACAGCAGCACAGCTTGGTCCACCAGGTACACAAAACAGTGTACACATGCATGCAACGGCACCCATGTCCTGCATATGCTCGTCATATCCCCTTCATGCTTCTTGTACCCTTTGCTCATGCATGTGTATGTACCTCATGTCCCATATGTTCTCCTCGTGCCCCCTGTGTGTGAGCACACAGGGAGGCACAAGCAGAGCATATGCAAAAGTCACTTCCTTCACACAAGTGCACATGAATCTGCAAACACACAAGTGTCCTGCCTCCTGCTTGCATGCACCCTTCACATGGGTGAGCACTTGCATCCTGTGCATGCTTACACACGTGCTACTTATAGCACGTGCTACTTACAGCACACGTCTACTGTATAAGCAATACCTGTATCTATTGATAGTCCTCATGCCAAGTGCACAACTGTGTGCATACAGGCCTTGCTACCCATACCCATGTCTGCGTACACCCTTGCACGTGCATTTCCAACTCACATCCTTGGCAAACATCCAGGTAATGGGCAGGTCGGGGTGGGTGGCAAATGGCACATCGCAGTGCAGTGTGATGACTTCATCCGCGCGGGCCCACATGTCCTGCACTGGGAGCATTGACAGGCATGTGAGTTCACATCTGCTCATGCACTTACAGAAATTATTGTGCTCCTGTGTAACTGCATGTGCTCATTGTGGGGATGGGTATGCGTGCAACTTGGCACACTCTTATGCGCTCATGGTGGGCCCAGCAGGCATGCCTACATGTGAGAAATGAAGGTTACCCCCAGAGCCCTGGAGGCCAGGTGGGGCTTAGCCCAGCCTGGATGCCTGGGTCTACCACGGCCCCATACCTGGGCAGTCCAGAGGAAACTGGCAGTCCACAAGGCGGCAGGTAGCACACTGGAAGATGCGGGCCGCTGGCTGGTACCCTTGGAGGGAGAGACTTGGCGGTCCCAGGGGGATGGGAGATGTACTAGGGGAAGGGGGTGGGAAGACAGAGGGATGGGCACTCACCACAGGGGGGGATGCAGTCCGGAGCTGGTGGGGAGGAAGCAGCATTAGACTGGGGATCATTGGGGATCCACATCTCTGTGATGAGCTGTCAGGGCTCAGCCCTTGTCCAGCCCAGATGTAGTCCTTAAAGTTTTCTCCAGGATGGAGGTGCCCAGGGTGGGGGTCTCTGTGACAGTTCCTTGGGGTTCTCTAGGGTGGGAGTCCTGAGTGTGTCCCCACTGGACCCATACCTTCCTCCAGACGGCTCAGCTTCACCCAGGTTATGTTGATGGCTTCCTGCAGAGACACCTCAAAGGGCTCTGGGGTGTCCCAGATGTCCAGGTGAGACAATGTGCCCTCCCCCTGATCCCCATAAACCCTCCCTGGACCTCACAGACCCCCTGTACAACTCACCTTG